TTGATTTAAATTTTGCATTTAGATCATTAAATTCTAATACTTTAATGATTATTTTGTATTAATATAATTTTAAAGAGAGGCTTATGAATTAATGAGTTGAATCACAGTGAGTTGAATCACAGCTAGCTAAGGCTTCGTTTGGGATGGATTTCTTACTGCTTCCTAAAGTAGCTTTTTAGTACAAAAATTTAAAATTTTATATTAGAAAACTGCATTAAAAAACAATAAGAAAATCATCCCAAACAAAGCCTAAATTTGGGCTGAATAATAATAAATGATATTTTATGGAAATATTTTAAATTTAACTATAAAAAATTTAAAAACATATAAGTTTGCAATGGGTTGTCATTGAATTTCCTAAAGGTAGCCCAATTTATTTTTCCTACCAGATTTTAATTACAAGGTTATGTCCTATTGAAAACAAATCTTAAGGCACTATTATGTGTAAAATAAGCCAACCTTTTATTTACAAAAAGAACGCATCCAATAAAGGAAGTACACTGAAAACACAAAAACTATAATTAGCAATCGTAAATCAGTTTAATATTCTATATCCTTACGATAATTATCTACCAGTTTAATAAGCTATATTTTTTGCTTAATTATTAAGTATATTTTTTAAAAATTCTTGACAAACGTTAATGTAGATAAAAATTCAGAAATAAAATAAAAAACTTTTACTTTTTGTTAAAAATATAATTAAATTGCTTAGCCACTCAAATAAATTAATTCAAAATTCTTTAAAAAATATGACTTTCTGGTTATTATTTTTGACCATTTTGAGTTATTAAAGGCGATTAAATCATTGACATTAATAATTTTCAAAGAAAATGGGAAATAAAAAAAAATATTTACCACATCTATCAAATAATGTGCACATATAGCTTAAAGTTTAATAGTGCACGATTGTACCTCCCCACATAAGGGGGTATTGCTAGGTGATTACAAATAAAACTACGACAACAACAACATCAAGCTTTTATCCCACTATATAGGGTCGGCTACATGAATCCTTTTTTCTCCACTGAGCCCTATTAAGAGTCAAATTATTATTTAAATTTAATAAGAAAAGTCATTTAAAATACTTTATAACCATGTCTTTTTAGGCCTACCTCTAGCTTTCTTAACATATGTATGATCTAATGCATCTACTCTCCTAATTAATCGGGTCATCGAAAGGCCGATGTTTTATCTAACCAAACCATCTAAGGCGACTCCTCCTAATCTTATTTGCCACCAGAGCTACTATAACCTTTTCACATATATACTCGCTTGCATTCTATCTCTAAGTGTAAAACCACTCATTCACCTGAGCATCCTCATCTCCACAACACTTAACGTAGGGGCTGTTCGGTTGGAAGTAAAATTGGTGTAAGTATTCCAATTCCAAGCTTTAGCTACTCACTACCACACGCCATCGGCCACCACTGCTGACCACTATCTTGGGACTTTAAACTACATTCATTTACTTCAATCCCCCCCTTAAAAAAACATTCACATGCATTTACTTCAAACTCATTCAAACAATTCCAATGTATTCTTTTTATATTGCATTCCCTTTTAGCCAACCAAACAAGTACTTAATTTTTTGCTTTATTTTAATGGCCAACATTTTCCATAAAGCATTGCAGGTTTCACTACCACCTTATAGAAATTTTCCTTAAGTTTGAGGGGTACTTTTCTATCACACAACAAGCTCGATGCATTCCTCCACTTCAACCATCCAACTTGAATTGTACTAATAATATCCCCATCTATTTCACCAACACTTTGAACAATTTTCGAAATATCTAAAACGTGTACTCTTTTTAATGACTTAATTGCCCAAAATCATAATCCCCCAACTAGATCTATTACTCTACTAAAATTACATTCCAAATATTCAATTTTAGATCTACTCAAATGAAAATCTTTAGAGTCTAAGGTTGACCTTCAACAACAACAACAACAACAACATCAAGCCTTTATCCCACTACGTGGGGTTGGCTACATGAATCTTTTTTCTCCATTGTGTCCTATTAAAGGTCAAATTCTCGTTTAAATCTAATAAAGAAAGGTCATTCATAATATTTTCTAACCAAGTCTTTTTAGGTCTGCCTCTACCTTTCTTAACATAAGTCAAACATAAGGTTGACCTTCATTATTCAAAATTTCCTTCAATTCTCTCTCTAATCTTTTCAACAAAAAACATATCATCAGCAAAAATATACACTGGGGTACATCCTTTTGCAAATGTCTATTAAGAACATTCAGGTGTAAAGAAAAAAGATATGGGCTTAAACTTGATCTTTGAGGTAATCCAACTGAAATAAAAAATACTTGACAAACCATCTTGTATTTGAATACAAGTAACAACTCTTATAAACATATCCTTGATGACTTGAATGTAAGCATTATTAACTCTTTTCTTTTCTAAAACTATCCAGAACACTTCTCTTCAAACATTATAATATGCTTACTCTAAGTCAATAATATCATATGTAGATCCTCTTTACTCTTTCCCTACTTCTCCATCAAACCTCTCAACAAATGTATAACTTCCATAATAAACCTACTCAGCATGAATCTAACCAAATTCTAAGAAACATTTGCATCATGTCATAACCAATACTCAAAAACTCTCTCCCATAGTTTAAGTGTATAACACATTAACTTAATTCCTCTATAATTTGCAAACTCAAGTGCAACACATAGGAACCAGCACACTCCACTTATTTGACATCTTTTTAGTCTTCAACATAATTTTGACAATTTTAATAAGCCTAGATATTTATTGATCTCCAAAGTATTTCCACACCTCTATTGAAATATCATCATGTTTTACTATGTTTTTATACTTTACTATCTTCAAATCCACTCCAACTTTGATTTTACTATTATGATGATAAAATTAAAAATCTATATTTTCATTTAGGGTGCTATTATCACTAAGGTGATTACAAAATCAAACTCTTATGTATAAAAATTAATATAAGTAAAAATTAGATTGATTTATTCTTTTTTTTTTTACCAATTTTGCGTTATTAAAAGGGACAAAAATTTTGAATTTAATAATTTTAAAAACTTTTTTCATTAGAAAAAAATATACCTAACACTACAGGAAGGTTACGAATTTGTGGCGTACTTTATGAAGGATTATTTTTTGTCGAAAATGACGAGGAAAATTATTGACAATTATTTTGTGACGGATTTGCGGCGGAATTTGCTATTGTAAATTCGTCACAAGCTGAGTTGTAATATAAATAAATAAATAAAAGCTTTATGTTGTATTTTGTCTCTGTAGCCAAGTAAAGGGGGTTAGTTTGCAAGAGTAGGTACACATCCCGGGTATGTCATGTGGCGCAAGCAGTCCAATCAAGTAGCTGGTCAAGCGGGAATTGGTTGCCAATCACGCATGGGCAGCAGTCATGCGGGAGTGGGCAGGCATGGTCGGGCAGCCGGGTGGTCAAGCTTGGGAAGTAGGCAGTCGAACAGGCTAGGTTAGCGAGCAGTTGGTCAGGTTTTGTAAACTTCGCTGCAAATCAAATTTTGAGGCGAACTTTTCCGCCAAAAAAGGTGCTTTTCCTTTAGCGTAAGAAATTAGAATTTCTCAAAATATTTTCAAACAGCCATTCAAGAGGATCAAACCAATCATGATAAGTTGATAACAATTCTAGCATATACAATTATATAAAAACCCTATTCATTATAAAAATAAACCTTAAAAAGTTATAGCATATAAAAATTATATAAAAACCCTATTTTACAAACAATCATAAAAAATATTGATTGCACAAAAAAAAAGTAATTAAAATTTTACAATATTTTTAAAACTCAATAGCTCAAGTTTATAAATCAAGAAATTTATATTTCTTTGGGAAGAAATCTTACATCCCTAGAAAGATCCCTAGAAAGAGCAGAGCAACATCGGACACAATGAGGGCTTGTAGTGGTGAGAAGCCTTTGTCGGAGACGGTAAAGCTTGCAATCGAGCTTCGAGTTCATGAAAGAGAACCAAGATGGAAAGGGGAGGGAAACAACGAAATAGGTTTTAGTTTTTGGTTTTAAGTTTTAATTTAGAGTTTTAGATTATTTGATGTAAAATCAACGACTACGACTTCATCTCATTTGAACTGCACGATTTTTGAAAACCAACACAGGTTTAACGGCTCAATGGTCGATCGTTGGTTCAAGTTAGTTATACTTAGTTTCGTGCGAAACCTATACTATGAGAGAACTAAACCGGTTGGCCGGTCGATCGATTCCTAGTTAAACCGGTTGAATCGGCCGTTCCGATAAATATGGTGTATAGATAAAAATGTTCAAGGTTCTAAAAAGGTGGTTTCTGAATTTTAAAAGTAGGTGAAAACTCCATGATAAAATGAATAAATACATAGGAGACTAAAATAAGAAACTAAGAAAGTCAAGCATTTATTCCTTTACATGCCCGCCTTTATAATGGAGCTCTAGTTGTAGGGCTCAATGATGATGCCCAATGAAGAGAAACGAGTATACAAAAGTGATTTAGTGAGAGCATTTGTTAGTTCATTCTTAAATGTTATGTATGCCACAACGAGCACCATTTTGTACTTGTTCTATATAAAATGCAAATCAATAGCAATGCATTTCATTTGTAATTGAAAGAATGATTCACATGAGATGAGTCGCACCGCATTATTACAATAGTTCATTAGGGGTTGCGGAAGATGGACATTTATTCCTTTACATGCCGCCTTTATAATGGAGCTCTAGTTGTAGGGCTCAATGATGATGCTCAATATAGAGAAACGAGTATGCAAAAAGTGATTTAGTGAGAGCATTTGTTAGTTGATTCTTAAACATTATGCAGGCCACACGACGTGCACCATTTTGTACTTGTTCCTAAATAAAATGCAAATCAATAGCAATGAATTTCATTTGTAAATGAAAGAACGATTCACACGAGATGAGTCGCACTACATTATTACAATAGTTAATTAGGGGTTGAGGAAGATGGATGTATAATTCAGTAAGGAGTAGACCCAATGAAGCTAAGCAACTATGGCTGTTACAAAGCAATAATTAGCTAGTCTCAATAAAGAAGTGGGCTATGGTACTTTATTTCTTGGCACTCTAAGAGAAGAGCGTTCAATCAAGATACATAATCTGAGCACTTGTCGAGACAAGATCATCATTGATACATGCTTAGTTGATATTAGAGAAAGAATGAAGTTGAAGTAGAGAGATACAATGAGGGATAATGCTATTATTAATAATGCACATTGAAATCAGAATAGTCATTTTTTTAAGTCTTGCGATCAAAGGAGAGGTTATGCACAAACTAAGATTATTTATTAACTACTAAATCCACAATTGGGCATGAAAGAGCTAATTATATTGTAGATTACTCACAATAACACTATAATTTTTCAGACTGCTGAGCACGAAATTAGAGTGAAGAGTAAGTATCAATGAGGTAGCAAGAGATATAATCATATTAGTGTCATCTGTTATCTCGATGTTAGGAAGGAGATCAAGGATGTATCAATACTGATGTAAGCAAAGTCCATATGGATATAGAAAAACTTCCAATGTCAAAGAAAAAAGTGCAATCATTGAAGATTCTTACGTTTTATAATTGTGCTTCAACGTAATAATTAGAAGAAAGATAAGTGTATCACCAGTGTTGCAAATAAATAGAAATATATCATTCAGAGATTTTATGAAGCTAGTAACAACTAGAAACTTTGAAGATTTGAGTAATGTCTTAGGCTTTGTTTGGATATATTTCATTCTGCTTTCTAAAATAGCTTTATAGTACTAAAATTTTAGTTCAAAACCTTAATTTGGCTCTGAATAATGCTACACATTGCCTCCAGCAATAACGAAGATTAAATGGTTTCCATGATAAATCTCTATAGAGGTGGAGGATGGAGCAAAAGGGGGCTAGATCAAAGCTCAAAATTTAGAAAACTTTAACAAGGCCTCAATCCTTATCCTTTCATTGAAATATTGTCAATACATAAAAGCGTACAAGGCATTTATTCCTAGTAGCATATTAAAAATACATAATAGACTAATAATAGAAAACTAACTAATTATCATAATGATAACGCATTTATTCCTTTAGGATTAATTCTAATCCATTCTAATTTAAATTTCAAATTAATTATAGGTATTTTTATTTTCTTATTAATATGGATTATTTGATTATTTCTTAAACCCTAACTTCAACAAGTAAAATGAATTATTTGATTATTTCTTAAACCCTAACCTCAAAAAATAAAATTAATTATTTCCTAAATACATTTATTTATTATTTCCTTAAGCTATGATTATTATCATATAGCTCAAAATAAATACATTTAAAATTAATAAGGCTACAATGGGATCTAATAATTAATTAACTCCTGCACATAATTTTTTATTTCTTTGTTTAATTGGTAATTATTTGTAATCAATTCATATTTAAATTTCAAATTTAATAAATTAAATTAAAAAAAAAACATTTTTTAATTAATTTGTATTATTTGATTATTTCTTAGGCCCTAACCAACATTAATTACAAAAAAATGATTAATTCCAAAATACATTTATTTATTACTTCCTTACACATATGGTCAATATTAATAATTATATTATGTTAAATAAGAATATGAGAAAAGTTCCATATAATAAATGATCAATAAATCTTATAATATTGCTCATTTCAAATAAATTTAAGAATACAAAATTTATTCAAACAAATTTTAGTCATAATATTCTCACCGACACCCGAAATTTTTGTATATTTTTCCTGGAGAAAACAATGAAGAAAAAAATATTCTACTAAGCATATTTGAAAAGAAATATAAAATTAAAATAATAACAATAAAATCTAAATTTTAGATGATTTCCTATTTCCCTTGAATTCTTTTCAATAAAACAAAGCCTTTAATCCATCCCTACTAACCCTACGGGTTCAACATTGAATAAAAAAAAATTGAAAACCTAAGACTCCGAAATGTTAAACATGAAACGTTCAATCCAAATGAACAGAAGCCTTTGACTGTTCCTACAGAACAGAAGGACTCAACTGCTATGCTTCTCGTACGTACTATGTAAGTTCGAGTTTATATATAGAAACCTAGTCAAATCCCAATTTTCTTTTAAACCAGCTTCTGAGTTCTATCTTCTTCATCTGCTTCAATGAGAAATAGAGCCACATTTAAGTATATAACTATATCAAATCTGCGACAATTAATATCCTCGCTACTAACTGTAGCGTTGTCCCCATTCACATCCTTAACAGTAGAAGCAACATCAGTAACTACATGCATTAAAGAAACAATTTTAAACATAATTTATTATTATTTTTTTCATGTTGACATGACAGTACTTTATTAGTAATAGAACCTGTTTCAAATTGCTGGTAGGTGAACGCTCGAAATGAATGAAATGACCCAAAGTTTTGATAAGAAGGTAGAGTGAAAGAAGAGACAACAGATTGAGAGAGAGAGAGAGCAATGATGGTGCCAGTATTTTCGAGGAGTTATTCGTTCCTTGGAACCCTAAAAAACTACTGTAGAACGCTTTAAAAGCAAACTTAGTAGCCACTACGTGCTGGATTACTTTACCCCCTTCTCCACATACTTTTAATGAACCAAATCTGATTTCAAAATTTGAACTTATCTCTTGATTCATTAAAAAAATCGTTACTTGCCACTACCTTAGTATTCATACGATTATCTCATAAAATCTTTAGATTGGACTCATTATTATAAAATATATAGCTGTGATTCCGTTTTTTATTATTTGCATAAAGTGATCTAATGTTTCTGCTGTAACAGTTAATTGATTACCAGAGGTGAAGAAGGGAACAGTGGCTCCATTGGTGAGCGAGTTGAGCTGAGATTCGACCTTCCTTAGGAAGTCCATAGCCTCCTGCACTGGCCTCGTCAGCTCTTCCTTGTACTTCACGAGCATGTTGCAGTATGCTTCCTAAGAGAGAGATAGAGTTAGAGAGAGAAGATAGGCAGAATCAGGATTGAAAAAGAAAGATGAATAAAATGATATATTCTGAAACTAAGCGTGAAATTTCTATACTATATATAAATAAAAATAAGCGAAACTTATGATTTTGGATCTTCGGTGATATCTGAAGCATATCTCGGCGGCGCAACCACTTTGGATTATTGGGATTACCTCCAAAATCTCTGTACAAAACAGCTCAGATTTTATAAGATGAATCCCAACGGTCTAAAGTGGATTGTACGGCCGGGATGTGCATAACTGTATAGGCACAGTTACCGCTTCAATGGAAGAGGATCTGAACCCGAAGCTATGAGATATACAAACCATGAACTGATCAAGTTCTGGATCAGCCTGCGTGCCGCGCCGGCAGCCACTGGGAGAAGCCAGCTGCCTCGCTTCGAGCTCGCGTGCCACCGTCGATAGCCGCGCAACCACCTCGGGCGGCGCTCCAACCTGAAAAACTACTCTTATCAGTTATCACTACAAATAAACAAGCTAAATATAAATAAAAATCATTTTCTAATAGATTTAAAAGATAAAATATACATATATACATAAATATTGCCTTTTGGCAGTCCATGTAAGCGTTGAGAAGGGCAGGGTATTGCGGGTGTGAGATTATTTTGGCTTTGATGGATTCCACATCTGTGGAGAAGTACGTAGAAGAACCAGGCTCGAGCTTGGGAGTGCTAGTGCTAGGGTTAGGGTTTTGGCTCCTGGCCCCGTAGAAGAAGGAGCTGCCGGAGGCAGCTGAAGCCTGCTGTGGGCCGCCGACTGCCGGTAAGGAGGAGAAAGTGAAGGGTGTCCTTGTGCTGGAACCGCCTAAATGAAGGAACTCCTCCATATTAAATAAAGCCCCTTAATTTGAATGGTCTAGAGAAAGAATTACGAGGAAGGAATTTCTTTGGAATTCTCTCAGCTTAGCAGAAGAAGAAAGTCCTGAAGAAATAGAGTTTCGGGGTTAGATATGACCGAGTGCTGCTCACACCAGAAAGAGAGAGAGAAGAGAGAGAGAGGAAGGCATGCCTGGTGGCTTTCTTTTCTGCTGTCAAATCAAGAGCGAGGAGTTTTTTACTGTAGAAGTCGACGTGTTACTAAGACGATGCCTACTAACCCAAACAACTCGTATTATTCTTCTTCGTATTCTCAATTAAATTTAATTCAGACAACTTATTTGAATTATTTGCTTTTTTTTATTGTATGATTTATTTTTGTTATGATTTTGAAAAATAATTATTTTTAATTTTTCTGATTATTTATCATATTTTAAAGTTGAATTATAATCATATATTATTTTAAATTCGTTTGAAAATAAAATTTAACCATATTTTTAAATGATTTAATACAATTTAATTTTTTTTTCTCATACATAATTATATTTTCGAAAATTAAGCTCATTGGTTATAAGATAGAAAATACAATTCAACACATGATTAATGATTAACTATGCATTTACATCCAAAAAAATATCATTAACAACAACAACAACAAGCTTTTAAGTTACTTAAAAAAAAAAAGCTTTTAAGTTACTATGTGGGGTTGACTATATGAATCTTTTTTTCTCGATTGTGTCCTATTAAGAGTCAAATTCATCTAAATCTAAAAAAGAAGGTCATTTCTAATATTTTATAATCAAGTTCTTTTAAGTATGCATCTACCATTCTTAATATAAGTCAAATATAATATATCTTTTTTCCTAATCGGATCATCGAAAGGCCGCCATTTTATGTGACCAAACAATCTAATGGGACTCTCTAATCTTCTCATCCACTAGAGCTACTCCAATAACAAAAAAATATCAATAACTGTATGACTAAAATACTAATATCAATTTCTTTGAAAATTTAACTAAATAATTATATTTAATCATGCAACAAATTTTATATGAATTGTCCATTTTACCAAGCATACCTAAAATGCAATTTTATTCAATTAAAAAAATTTGAAAGGCCTTATTGATTAATGTTACATTTTTAATTTAATATTTCTTCCAGCAGAGTAATCTTTGAAAAAAAAAAAAAATTTGCCTAAAAATTTTTGCCACATAAACATTTAATGCATAGATGAACCAATAAAAACTTTAATTAAAAGTGGATGTTACCAAAGCTTGATTTGTTCATCTACAAAGCTTAGATTCAAATAATTTATTATTATTATTATTATTATTATTATTCTAGATATTGAAGTCTAGCATTATTCCAATTGATATTATACCCATATATTCCATGTGATAAAATGTGGACAAGGAATTCAAGTCTCACTTTAATTGGTCAAAATAAAAGAGCAAGCTTCGGGCTTGTGCACATAGCTCACTGGTAGACTTGAAATTCTTTCTCCCGCAAGCCCGTATTCGAGGCGCCTCAACGTCCCAAAAACAAAAAAAAAGAGCAAGCTTCACTCTTAACCTCTTTTTCTTAAAAATAAAATTAAGCTTTATTTTATTGAAGTGGATAAATTGAGATTCTCTCCAAATATTTTTTTTTTTTCATTTTAAGTGATTAACATAAGAACGGTGAAAGCTAGTTTTTAATGCAAATTTATTTGTGTAATATTATTAAAAAAATGGTAGATTTTTCTTAGGGAAGACAGCTAGTGCATGTGAGAGGTGGGGCCAAGGGTTAGCCACACACGAACGGTGATGCACCACACGTGCTTCTCTCAATGATCATGTGATCTGTTCCATCGCACTCTTTCGATCCGGTCTCATGAAGAGCTGGGCTGGTCGGGCAATAAACCGGCAACCCATAACGTCGCCTCGGTGGCTGACAAGACCCCTCTCTATCTCTCTCTAAATCCAAAGCCTTATCTCTATATTTTGCAGAAATCATCAAAGGTGGAATTTGCGAGTGTGGCAGGTAAGCTCAAGGAATGCAAATACTACTTTGACGGTCAAAGATGAGGGGGGAGAGAGAGAGAGTAGAAGTGTAAATTTATGTAATTTTATACAGTACACGTTCTGATGTACGTGTGATAATTATAAGCGAAGGCAGTTAGTGAAGCTTCAGATTTCCTGTGCATAGCTGGCTTTGTTTCAGTCTTTCCTTAACACACTTTCCAATGTAACTCAGTACACTGTCTTCTAAGCCAACACCTAGATGTTGGATGTGAGGATACGAATGTTGTTTGGAGACTAATCAGAATGCCTCGCAGTATTCTTCGTTGTATATCGCAATTGTGTACTCGTTGTATATCAGATGACGAAATGATTCGGTATCCGCACAAGATAATTTCTCTGGATGTTGGATGTTGGATGTTAGAACAAGAAGATGCACAATAGGAGAAATTATTAGATGAGTGCACTCATTTATTTTGATATACATATTCACTCATTTATTTTGATATACATATTCAATATTTAAAAATCTAATAATTTTATATTACTCTTATAATATAAATAAATCAATTATATAATATATAGTTGAATTTAATCACTTTTATTGTATTCATTTCTATGAATTATTTTAATTTAATAGTTATCGTCCCATTATAATTTCGTTCACCGTGCATGATCAGCTAAGTGTTAAAATTGTATTGGGTTGGATTGTTGGAACTTTATGATAGGATGTAAATAGTATAATTCTAAGAAAGAATACTAAAATGTTGAGGAGTTATAATTAGTATTGGATAAATTTAAATTATCAGCTCAAAATTAATTGTCACTCTAACTGCTTGATATTTTAAAATATCAAAAGATATGACAGAAAATGCTATTTGATGATATTGACCTCTGTCAATGCAAAGGAATCAATCATGTATGCGATAGTTATAATTAAATAAATTTTAAAAGGTTAGGTGAGAAGGTTAGTAGAATCATGCCTAATCTTGGCATGGAGCATTCACATTCTCTCGATTATATTATGAGATATGAGGCCGGCGTGGCCACGAACAAAAATCCACCTGGAGCAAGAACGACGGAAGGAGGTGTCACCTACTCTCCGTCAGCAATTGGCCGTGGAATTCTCGGCTCGTCTTGGCTAGAATGCCTAGTTCTTCACCACCTGCACAATATCGACAGGATACAGAAAGAACAGAGAAACTAAAACCAAAGGCAGAGCTCTTATTAACGAAGGAGAATTTTCCTTCAAGAATCAAAAATCAACAAATCATGCCCCTCTCCTCTAAGAAGAAACTATTTATACAAAAAAAAAGTAAAGAGCAGACAGAACAATAAAAGACAGGCTATACTGTCGACATACAAAGCAGAGCTACACAGTGTTTCCAATGTTGCCAGTAGACGCTCCGGCGTCAAGATACATAAATGATACTAACAATAAGAAAAAGGAAAAAAAAAATTCATGGTGGAGTGAAAGGGTTAAGATTGTGCATATATTATGCAATCAAATTGTGTATTGTTTTGTATTCTTATTTTCTATTGTTCTTGTCGGGGGGAAGATATGTAAGAGTTGAATCCAAGATTTCTTTATTGGTAGTCAAAGCTCCCCAACCAACATACCAAAATGAGCTGTGTTATTAGGTGTTGTTAGTATGGAATTTTACAAATCGTTGGGTGATAATAGGAGTGCAAGTCATTAGTTGAATTAGAAATGGATTCGTAAGTATGAAGGAAATTGCCATAGATGTAAGAGCTTTTGATTTCCCTAAGAATTTTACCATTTAATGATATTCATCATAGGAGTATTTTTTTGAGAGATTATCAAATGTGGATGAAGGATGTAATTTATGTTGTTTGGATATAATACTTTTGGTATTATTGAGAATGCCCAAGAAGTCTCATAACCTTAGTTTTGATATTGAGACTGAAAATGTTCTTTGATGGCTTTACCTCCAAAATTTTTATGGATATAATTGATATTTTATTGGTGATGAATTTGTTGCAGTTGTGAACCATTTCTTCTTCAGTGCCAAACTATCTAATAGAGTCGAACATTTTGCTATTATATATACACCAAATTATTTTTATAATTAGAGTTTTAGGCTGTTTGGATTGCTGAAAAATAGCATGCAAAATAAAAGAAATGTGGTGTAACATAAATATGGTGTATTTGAAATATTTTATAATTGTTTGGTTGAGTGTAAAATAATTATAAGAGATTATTTTTTTTGTATTTGGTTTGAATTAAAATGAGTCCAATTTAAATATTGGCCATGGCAGTGCTTGCAAACAGCAAATAAAGGCAGTTTGTAACAATGTTGGGAACCAAAGATAATTGGTAGTTGTTGGTGGTGGTTGTCGATAAGAACAATGACGCAAGTGATGATGGCAGGAAGTGGCAAGTGACGAACGACAACTAAAACGATTAAGTAGAGGTGAAATGCCTCATTTTGGGGCTTTGCCTTTGTGCAATATCTTGTGTTGTTGACATGTTCAACTCTTAGTTATTCTTCTATTCCCTCAAATCTGCCCTCATTTCCACCAACTTTGGCCTTGCTTCAACCTCTACCTCTTCCTTCTTCAGCATATTTTCAACCATTAAGCATAGAACTCCTCCAAGTGACATTCTCTATGACATCCCAAGTGATGACATCAAAATTCTTAACATCTCTAAATATCTTTTGATGATTTTTTCAAACTACTTCTAGTTGCTTCTCATGCTAGGTTGAGTTAGCAATGCCTAGTTAAGGTCCATGGAACTTGATTAGGATATATGGTACCCTTCATGTGATCCTCATAGTCAGCTAACAGATGATTCAATTCATCGTTCCTTTTTAAACTTAATTCATCCTCTTCATAAGCATCTTCCAAGACTATCAAAATATTAACTAAAATTCTAATCCTCTCTTTCAACTTCTTTGTCAAACCAAGAAGAGCTTAGAACAAGCTTTATTCCTCACACCTCACAACTCCCTTAAACTACACCAAATCTTACTTTCTTCTTCAAACTA